AGACGTCGAATAATAATGATGCTACTCGACGACCGGCGACATTCAGCGTCCTCGAATGGTTTACTTGTTATTCTGATAGATAGCGACATTTCTCGGGTGCAGAGGATGTGACATTCAACTGCGGATATTTCGAGTTGGTGGTAGGTATTTGAAAGATAGAATCGCGATCGATGCCCGCGGCCCGTGTGAAAATTCTCACCCTAAAATAACGCGCATTATTAAGTTTTTAATCAATCGGGTCGGCTTTTAATCAGTTTAATTGTGGGAACGGGAATTTCGCATGTGTGAACGTTTATGTATAACGGGTGACTGATTTTCGAGTGTTCGAGAGGTGAGAGAGGAAAGTGTTGAAACCAAGTGCTTGAGATTAGAGTGCGTTAAGGTGTGTTTCCCGAAGAAAAATGCAAATTTTTGCATTCGTGCAAAAACGCCTGTGGACGCTAATAGCAGTGAAAGGGTTAAGGAACTTAAACATATTGATACATATTAGCGACAACGTATATACTTTCAAGGGTCGTCGAAGGCAATTAGCCCTACGCTATATTTATAGCAGGCACTTAGACTGCTTGTGGCCAGAGACAGTGTTTATGAAAGGAGACAATCAGACGACCAAGAATTGCTAGTGACTCGAAGTCACGTAGCCCTGGAAGAAGGCACGAGAAACTTTAGAAATGGCAAACAGTCCAACGTTGCATTGCTTTAAGAATGGGAATATTGTTCCTAGAGGATCTGGTTTCGGAGTGGAGAAGGCGAGGAGGGTGTCTTCTGGTAAGAGGACGGAGGAAAACAGCAGACTATTTAAATATTAATTCGATATTGCTAATGTATAAGTATTTACGCAAATCTGTATATCTTTGGTTCATGTCCCGACTAGATGTCGTATAGCGACAAAATCGTTGTACGATCGACCGACCAACGCGACGAGAGAGAAACAAATCACGTTCCATGGTCGCATTGTTTGAGTTCCAAACGAAGTTTGTTTTTTGTCGCATTTTACGCACGAAGTCTCGCGACAAACGACTAACCGGACTAGAGGACTTTTATTTTTTGAAACGTCTGTTAAATTAACTCTCTTCGTAGTATACTGATAAAATAAATTGTCATTTTCTTGTAGGTGACAGTAAAGGTGGTTTAATTCCCCGAATTTTATCCTGTCTACCCTCTGACGTGTTCTCTTCCGTGTATTTTTTAATAACATTTTAAATAACTATTTTCACTAAGAAAATGCAACTCCGACTTCGACAAACGCATCTTGAAAACTAACCTAAACTAAACTAGTATTCGACAGCTGGCCGTATGTGGAAACTGTCGCATTTGACAACGGTTTTGTCGCTATGCGACATTTAGTCAGAACATACATATGTAGTATCGGGGCCTCCATGCCCAAATAGGAAACCTCGAAGGGAGAATAGAGAGGGAGTGGTTGGCGGTAGCGCGCAAAGCCTCGGCTTGCTAAGCCGAAGGTCCCGGGTTCGATTCCCGTTGGGTCTCTCAATATTTTTCTGTCGATTCCTACACATATGTAGCCTTATTTAAAAAACCTCACCTTTATATCATACCGGAGATAGGCTTATTTAAAAACCTCACCTTTATGTCTTACCGGAGATAGACGTATAAGTAATTTCCTATGTTATTCTCGCTTAGTTTTCGTTCTATTGATCCATTCAGACAGCGAGAGAAAGGAAGTCGCACTTGGCGGCCGCGTAATTGAATGGATGAAACTTGCAGATCCGTGTGGTTGGTGCCTAAGCGGAGTCGCGTTACTGAATTTTCATCATCAGCCGGGGTACTTTTCCCGCGACTCGTTAGGTTGCGAGCGCGTGTTTCGCTTCTTCTCCTTTCTTCTTTTTCGCCTCGCCTCTCTTTCAGCCCGGGCAATGAAGCAATAAAGATTAGTGTGACGGTTAAATGAAGTCGCGCCGCTTTAAAACTTCCGGAATAAATGGCAGTTAAAGTTTAGCGACAGAACGTCGTTTCGGTGGACTCTTTCGGGCATTGTTGATGAACGACGTTTGAATGGAGAAGCGATTTACCATGGAAGTTACCTTTCCGTGCCTTCACGATTACAGGAATTATTTGAAAAAGACAGCATTTGAATAAAGGATCACGTTATACAAAGAAAGATCCCATTTTAAGGAGTATATGTAGCTAAAGACTGGAGCTAATATGAAATATGCAGTATCTAACAGTTTGGTAAGCTTTATGATAATAAAAGTTCCAATATAATTTGCTTGAGATCAATTTGAAGGAACCAAGAAATGATCAACACTTCAACACTTACAGTAAAATTTCAATCGAAGATGATACATTCTATTAAATTATGTAAAATACGATAGAAGATACAAGTATGTAAGAAAATTAAGGAAGGCAGAGTACTTGGAGAAGGAAGGAAGAGGCAGAAAATAAAATGCACTCTGTGTAACTTACATGGGAACATCCCAAAGTGATAATCAGCGATTTTAACGAAACTTTGGTACATAGTAGTTCACAAAAAAATATTCGACAATCGTGCACAGTAAAGGGGTGAAAATCGCCCCCAAAGTTGCAAATAATAAATATATTTAGTCTTATATCTCGAAAACTATTAGATATAGAAAAATAGTGTAAATCGACAAATTTGGTATTTTTCAACAACAAATTTGCAAACTAAAAAATAATAAAATATTCTGACCAAATATGTCTATTACCCTCACATTTAAGAATAATTTTCACCCCTTCAATGTGGACGATTTCCGACAGAAAAAAATACGCGTCGAATATTTTTTCCAGAACTACTGTACATCGAAGTTTCATCGATATCGGTGATTATCACTTCGGGATGTTCCCTTGCAAGATGTTCTCGCAACTTTGCACGTCTCGTTTGCCTCGCAAAAAGGATCCATAAACGCACACACACAGACAGACATCAGACGTATTTTGGTCTCTTTTTCCGAAACTTTTTGATGTTCATGTCAAAAGAAAGATAGCCTCATCGTTGTTGCACAGGCGAGTTTCAACGTCGACGACCTCGATGTTTGAATAGATCATTCTCGGCCGGGCTGCCGTATGTTCTGTGCGCCGCGCCGCATCGGCGGATACTTGCATCTCTGCGACTTGCATGCAATGGCGCGCATTCGTACTTTGATCACATCTCCGTTAGAATAGCTATTCTCTCTCCCTCTCTCTCCACATGTTCGTCCTCTTTCCAACTTTCGCTTGATCGCGGCTTTTTCAAACGAGACTTTGACAGTCGCAACACTCGCGAAAAATTGTTCGGCTGCAACCGGGGAATCTTGCGTCAAACGATTCACGTACAGTCATTTGAGAACGCATCTCTTGGAAAAATTACTTTGCCAAATCGTTCTCGACACTCCTCTCCTTCTACGTACTCCAAATTTTCGCTTAACTCGCCGTGTGTGTAGTATATGAACGTACATGCAGCAGGTTTTCGAGATGTGTAAGTTCAGTTCGAGACGTGTCTGCAAAATTGCGTTCGTATTTTGGAAGAATTGCCTTGAAATCTAGGGAGAGCGTCTTGTAAGAGGTAGAACGTAAAGATGAAACCGCAAAATGCCAGTGGTATTTTATAATGCGGCGTGGAGTAAGTAAGAAGACAAATGTTGAAGCTCCGGACTTTCTGTTTGCATCTCGCGTATGTTTTCTTGGCTAGCAAAATGCAAATTGACCGTTGTGTAGGATTATTCATTACACTGTACGAGGAGCTAGATACATTTACTCGAGACGAGAGATAAATTTGAAAGTAGAATTCTTCTACCATAATTTTGCATACTTTCGTGTTAAATGTGAAAAATGATGAATTTACAGTGGCTTAAATTTGTTCTTTTACGTATGCTCCTAAATGCTAAAGAGTACTTCACCCTGAGGCGCCTAAAAATAAAGTTTGGGAATTTTTTTCATAGGTAACTACCGAATGAAAAGTTTCAAGTTTTTCAGAGGATGTAAATATAGCTTTCAGCTTCTTTCTCCAATTTTTAAAAAGCGAAAACGAGCGTTTCTCGAAATAGCTTTACTGAAAATTTACAGAATTCTACTGCATCTGACGATATGTCTGATAAAAGTAGCTGCGTTATCAGTACCTTTCCAGATTTTTTCACGCAATTTGTCAGATCA